ACACACACACACACACACACACATATATATATATATATATATATATATATATATATATATATATATATATATATATATATATAGTCATCCACAGACAGACTGTTTCGCTGTATCACAGCTCATCTGCGTGAATAAACATGCGATGGCTTATGTGTATGTGTGTGTTTATGCGTCGGCGCGTTTGTGTGTGTGTGTGCATGTGTTTCATTGAATAATATAGAAAATATTCTGCCTACTTATTTTTATACTGATCCTTTGCAGTTGTCTAATCAGTTTCTTGATGTTAAGATGAAATTCATCAAGAAAGGCGCCGTAGTATTTTTTTTTTTTTTTTGTTTGTTTTATTTTAACCCAAGTATGTTCGACCTTTTATCTTCAGATGTAATTACAAATTATTTTATCGCTGTTTTTGTAATTTACCCCTGAAGATTATCTACGAAAAATTCGAAAGTACTTGGATTAAAAAAAACTTCGGCGCCTTCCTTGATGAATTTTATCTTAACATCAAGAAATTGATTAGATAACTGGAAAAGATCGGTATAAAAACAATTAGACATAATATGTCTATATTATTCAATGAAACATGTTTGAATGAAGATATACTTCTCATATATATATATATATATATATATATATATATATATATATATATAGTCGATTCTCCCGTCGAATTCGACGTATGAGGGTCAAGCAGATCAGTTTCTAGAAACCGACAGCCCGACAACGACACATGAGATTTGATTATAGTGGTGAAGGCCTCGTGCAGGACCATCCACACTTTTTGAAGTTATATATAATATTATATTATATTATATTATATTATATTTATATTATATATTATTTATATATATATTATTTATGTATATATTATTTATATTTATATTATATTTATATATAAATTTTATATATATATATATATATATATATATATATATACACACACACACACACACACACGAACACAAACGAACACACACACACATATATATATATTTATGGGATTACGATATATAGCTTTTTATATATCAAGAACTGTTTCCGATGAAAGTAGAAACAGTTTTCGTGTCACATGTTTCGTCCCTTAGGACTTCATCGGATTGTGTTTGTTTGGATGAAGTCCTAAGTGACGAAACGCGTCACATGAAAACTTTTTCCACTTTGTCATATATATATATATATATATATATATATAAACTTTATTCAAATAAGTGTTTTCTTTTTTCAAATGAAGTCGCCAGTCAAACGAAGAAAAAAATTCAATGAAGTTTAGAAATAAATGGCACTAAATCCAAGAACCAGAAGAAAATTCTTCAATACTGCTGCAAATACAACTTATATATCATAGATTTTACAAGTACAAAACTGATGCGATATACTTTTCTTGAGATAAACCACCACTTATTGATACGGATTTTACAAGCACCAAGCTATCCTTTGCCTTGGGACTAGGCATTTTCTTCTCTTTATTTAATTTTAGTAATGGGATTCACCAGATCGACACCTGGGATTAAGTTACACCTGCCACGATTTAACAGGTATCACGCCACAAAATAAAATTGCAGGTCAAGATCAGATGATACAATTTTTTCTCTAAATCAGATTTTCAGTTTGAAAGATTCCTGATTCTATATATTTTTATCTGTTCATCTCATAAAATGAATATTTACAGATTAATTATCCTTATGTAAGCATTTTTAATTTAAAATATACATTTTTGGCTTTATTTATTTCTTCATGTACTTATTTTCTGGTAGGAAACCAATAAACTTTTTCACATATACGACTTATATAGAAGTTTTTCAAGCTAATTTTTAAAGCAGATTAAGCTTTATTGCTTGAAAATTAATGGCTGTAATGATTTTATGCAAACGATACAGCTCTGCTCAGTCGCCTTGTCATAGATTGACGCCAAGAAAACAAATGTAGTGCTTTGTTTATTTTTCAGTTCGAGCAAAAAGTGAGAAGGCTGTAGCCTCCACCCTTGTAGAACCATGGATGTTTAGTCTGCTATTCTATCTACTTATTTACTTATGTCGATATTAATTTAAAAAGTATAGTTTCGTACAACACAAAGCAAACATATATCGATGTGGATATACGCATATGCATATTTGTTTTTGTTTCTGGAAAGATTGTAAGTGAAGATTAAACATCTAAGAAACGAATCAAAAAATCTGTTGGTACATTCAATCCAAATACTAATCGTAGTTTTTGCAAAACTGACTGCTGCTTTGGGGTCTGACTTGAGTGACGTTCAACATTTTTTACTCATACGAGCGCACACAGTTACATAGGAATAAATTGTTCATTTTCATGGTAACAAAATCTGCCTGATCCCAATAGTATAACTTGACACATATGAAGTGTTTTATCGCTTCGTGCATGTACAAAATCTCATCTGGACTACTACGGTCGGTAGCCTTTAGCTGATTGCGAATACACGGGCAAGTGTACATGTCGGCAATTAAAAAAAATAACATATGTGTATAGTATACTATTGGCGTTAGTTTATCGTTCGAGAACAGGGGTTGTGATCTATGTTTCAATCTCTTATGATTCTACTTTTAAGAATGGCCAACACCAAAAGTAACAAACTAGTTTCAAAGTAGAAAATGCTCTTTTTATGTAGCATTTTATATTATATAATGCATACGCATTATATAAGCAATCAACAAATGTATTGGTATTCGATAACCTAGTGATTAAGATTCCGGTAACTCACGCTGGTTCACGTTCGTTCGTGAGTTCGATAATTGAACTATTTCGTGTAAAAGCCTACAAGAAAGACATAGGTCTTTTTATGTATTATATATATATATATATATATATATATATATATATATATATATATATATAGTAGCGTTGGTAATCAGTCGAAGTTACAATAAATTTAGTAAATGAACTTCCCAATGATTCTGGAAAAATGTAAAACTGCAATTTATTGACATTTTTACAACAAACATTTTGTATGCAAGAGTATATGTATGAATTGATTTTCTTTACACAGAAAAATTTAAAGCGTTCATACAAATGGACATGTGTCTGATGTGGAAACAGTTCATACATTTTCACAGCTGACAGTAAAAAAAGAAGTATTAGTGCATTGATGTTGACATGTAGTTTAGGCTATCGGTGAGACTTTTGATCTCTAGCCGCATCCCTTATCTCTTCGGGTAAAGAGAGTTGCTTCGAGTGGATTTGCATAGACCAGCTGGTATTTTCAGTTGACTGAAAACCTATTGCAAAGTCTTATATTTATCTGTTTTCAGGATATACAGAATCGAAGGTTTTGGATTTACTCAAAGCAGCAGGAGTTGTTTGAAAATTCACTTTTTATGTGGATTTTTGACACGCATCTGAAATCTTTACACGGTAGCTATTGTAATTATTAAATGTTGAATATTACTACAAATGTAAAAGCGTAAATGAAGAAACATTTCCATTTTGAAGTGAGATAAAAAAATAGGAAAGTAGAGAAATTAAAAAAAAAACAATGATGTAGAGAAATAAAAGATAATTTTTTTTTCTATTTTTTCTCCTCAATAGGAGTAGATAAGTTCGTCTATCGTCTGTTTCACACTCCTCCCCGATATTTTGAACAGGAGTAGAGGTTTATCCATTGTTCCTTGTTTAGGATTGGATTTCTGGGTTCTTCTAAAGTTTTCCCATTCTCTTTCACTACCAGTAATCCCTTGCATCTTAGTCGCATTATCCCCTTCCTTGGGGTGAATTGATTATATATATATATATATATATATATATATATATATATATATATATAAACAATATAAAATATTTTCAGTCAATTGAAGTTTTATTTTATCCGACAGTATTACGTGAGTTTTTTAAATAAATAAAGTATTGTTTAAATATTTTACTTTCACTGCAAACTGAAGATTTTTAGCTAATAATCAATGTTTGCATGAATAAAATCCTGACAGGCAAAACCAATCACCATTGTTTCCTATAATAGGATCAAACATTCCCAAGAGCATCATAGATACATACATGCATAGCAATAACAAATGTCAAAAAAAGAAAAAAATCAGTCGACAAGGATATTTCTGAAAAATAACGCTCTTAATGCAAACAGTATTTGTAATTATAGAGAGAGCTCAGTAACAAGAGATGCAGCATTAAAAATAAAATTAAATGTTCACTTATCTGTCCCTACTCTGAGTTTCATGGTGATTAGACCCATTTAATAAAATTAACAAAATTCAATGTTTATGGGCGTAATAAGTGAATAATTTAATTTTATTGATTTACATACATTCACACACATACACACACAATCTCTCTCTCTCTCACACACACACACACACACACACACACACATATATATATATATATATATATATATATATATATATATATATTGTTGCCTATGTTGTACCAATCTTTCATTCACGTAATGGTGTTAGGGATAGAACCAATAAGGGAAATTCCTACTTGTATCATGATTTTTATACTGACATGTCACCTTTTGAGAATATGACGCAGCAATTTCAACCACGAAGACATCTCTACTTTTTACTAAGCATAGCAAAGCCTGGCACAAGTTACATTTGTGGGGCTCTGTCTTGGAGTCAAATTCACCCCATAAGCAAATTGGTCTGCGAGACAAGCATTGTTGTGCGCGTGCACACAGAAAATAAACATAGAATCATATACACATAAGAAGAAGGTACACACACTCATATATATGGAGTCATTTGCAAGCAATAACGCATTCAAATATAGGTCATCTAATGTTAATGCTAGTTGGTTTACACACGCTATCCCTCAAATAAATTTCCGTATTATTTTGTACATAAAGTTATGAATCATTCATGATAACAAATGGCACTAGAGAGAGAATTTTAAGTTTCTCAGGCTTTTTGTTTTATTTGAGTGATTGTTGAAAGTGCTCCACTGAAATTAGCATCTTTCTGTATGGAAAAATATAGTTACAAATTTTACCAAACTAGCACTAAATTTCGTACTTCTCAGTTTTATAC